CCCTGGTTAAGTAATACAAGGCTAACCAATACAAGGCTATGGATGTGTCCCCTGGTTACAATACAAGGCTGGGATGTGTCACCCTGGTTAAGTGTACAAGGCTGGGATGTGTAACCCTGGTTAAGTAATACAAGGCTGGGATGTGTCACCCTGGTTTAATACAAGGCTGGGATGTGTCACCCTACAAGGCTGGGATGTGTCACCCTGGTTAAGTAATACAAGGCTAATACAAGGCTGGGATGTGTCACCCTGGTTAAGTAATACAAGGCTGGAATGTGTCACCCTGGTTAAGTAATACAAGGCTGGGATGTGTCACCCTGGTTAAGTAATACAAGGCTGGGATGTGTCACCCTGGTTAAGTAATACAAGGCTGGGATGTGTCACCCTGGTTAAGTAATACAAGGCTGGGATGTGTCACCCTGGTTGAGAGAAAAGTGGTTAAGTGGGCCTCATTTCTATGGGACATTTTTAACCTAGCTTTAGTCAACACACTTGGTATCGTGAAAAGGAATATATTAGTTAGGAACTTCATTGTACAGTTATATAATTGGTAAGAACTGTAGTCTACATCAGAGAAGGCGACGTGTTTGAACAAGATATTCAGGAAATGACATACTAAGTTTCATTGTTAATGTCTCCTTAACAATAGCACCTGCAGAATTCTATTTAGTATTACAGAACACGTAAGCGTTGCGAGCTTCCCACTACTTAAATAATTCTCAACATGTGCTACTGCAACATGCTATCACATCTACAGACGATCACTAAAGAGACGACTGGTCAAAACGCACTAGCTGCGGTGACGAAAAACTTCGGTGACCATGTGCAGGTAAGTGTTGAAGACTGGAAACTGCCAGCCCAGACGTGTTTAGTAATACTACAGTACTTCATATAACAGTGCAGGTCCAGAAATACTGTGACATGAAACTACAGGTACATCTTTCCTATTTTCTAAATATTGTTCAATAGTGTAGTAAATATCCCTGTATGTTGTGCTTAATAACCTTACTGTAGTTGTTGAAGCACCAGCATTAACAATGATTTTATATATATATATATATATATATATATATATATATATATATATATATATATATATATATATATATATATATATATATATATATATATATATATATATATGTGTGTGTGTGTGTGTGTGTGTGTGTGTGTGTGTTATAGAGACTTTGATGTATTAAATGGTTAGACACATTATACGAGTATATTTTATATGTGTGATCGTTTCTCTCACACATCCCGGATATTCTGAACACACGTTAAGCGGAAATGACTGCTGCTTCACCGCACAAGCTGATTGGCTGGAGGTGATATGACGTAATGGTGTTAGTCGGCCAAATGGCAAAGTCCTTGAGTACAAGTATTGAAACAGCTTAGTAGATCTGAATTTGCTTTCTCATGAGAGACGTAGAGTGAAGGGCGATATAATCGAAGTCAGGGTTAAATGGAGGTGATTTGACTAAGATACTTAAACTATCAGACCAGGAGCGAACATACAGCAGCGGCTTTAAATCAGACCAAATTTAATTTTAGTCGTAAAATAGGTAAACATTGATTTGGAAAATAGTTGTGGATGAGTTTTGAACAAGTTACCAAACATCTTCATTAACTAAAACAGGGCTGCCTAGCATGGCACAGTTTCCTTCATTCTTATTTTAAGATAATGGAAGGATGGGGAAATGAGGGGCAGTAGGGAAGTTAAGGAAGGATAATAGGGATATAATGGAGGGACAGGAGGAAGAGAAGTGAGGCAGAAGAGGGAGAAGGAAAGAGAGGCGGGAGAGGAAAGGGGGGTCAGAAGATGGAAGAGAGAGGAGGAGCAAGAGGAAGGGAAGGGAGGGGCAGGAGGGAGGGTAGGTGAAGAGGAGGGAGGGGGTAGGGAGGGTAGGTGAAGGGAAGAGAGGGACAGGAGGGAGGGTAGGTGAAGGGAAGGGAGGCAGGGTATCATTGGCGGTAGAGTTATGTAGTACTGGCCTGACCCTCCACCGTGACCCACATACAAATGGTCTCATTAACCTGCTACCCTTCCCTCGCTCACTACCCTCCACTTCTCTCCCCCCTTCACTACCCTCCCCTCTCCCACTACCCTCCCCTCTCCCACTACCCTCCCCTTCTCCACACTCTCTCCTCTCTCCCCTTTCCTTCCCTCCCCCTCCTCCTACCCCCCCCTACCCCCCACCCTTCCCCCCCCACTCACCCCTTCCCTTCCCCACTACCCTTCCTTCCTTCACTACCCTCCCCTCCCATTACCCTTCCCTCCCCCACCCTTCCTCCCCTCCCCTACTACCCTTCCTTCCTTCACTACCCTCCCCCTCCCATTACCCTTCCTCCCCACTACCCTTCCTCCCCTCCCCCACTACCCTTCCTTCCTTCACTACCCTCCCCTCTCCCATTACCCTTCCCTCCCCTCCCCCTCCCTCCCTCCCTTCCCTAACCTTCCCTTCCCCCCACTACCCTCCCCCTCCCTCCCCTCCCTAACCTTCCCTCCCCCACCCCCTTCCCTCCCCCCACTACCCTTCCTTCCTTCCCTACCCTCCTCTCTCCCACCCTTCCTCCCCCCCCCTCCCCCCCTCCCCCACTACCCTTCCCTCCTTCCTTCCTTCACTACCCTCCCCTCTCCCATTACCCTCCCCCACTATCCTCCCTCCTCCCCCCTTCACTACCTTCCCCCCTCCTCCCTCCCTCCTCCTCCCCCTCCCCCCTCCCCACCCCCTCCCCCTCCCCGTCCTTCACTTCCTCACCACGACCCTACCTCCTTCCTCACCACCTCCTCCCTAGCCTGCCCTCCCGACTACCCCCCTCCCCATCCCCCTCTCCCCCTCACCCTCCCTCCTTTCACTACCTTCTTCCTTCCCTCCTTCACTACCTCCCTCCCCACTACCCCTCCCACCTCCCTCCCCATTACTCCTTCCCCCACAACCCTCTGTCCTTTCACTACCCTTCCCTCCTTCACTACCCTCCCTTCCTTCATTACCCTCCCGTCCCCACTACCCTCCCCTTCACTACCATTCCCTCCCTCACTACCCCAGGGCAGGAGCAGGAGCAGGACTCGGGGTGTCGGGGCAGGAGCGGGACTTGGGGTGTCAGGGTAGGAGTAGGAGCGTTTTCGAATCAGTGGACTACGGGCACGATTATGATGTGGTATACCTGACTTTAGCAAAGTCTTCGACAGAGTTCCCCACGAAAGACTAGTACATAAAGTGGAGGCTCGTGGAATTGGAGGAGATATTCTAAAATGGACTAGGGCATGGAAACAGGAAACAGCGAGTAAGCATTAACGGCACTAAATCCGATTGGGGTAACGTCACTAGTGGAGTACCCCAAGGCTCAGTACTTGGGCCATTACTATTTATTATATTCATACACGAGATATATATAGGTGTAGACAGCAACATATGTAAATTTGCTGGCGACACTAAAATAGGGCGTGTAATTGAATCTGACTCTGCAAAACTACAGGAAGATCTAAAAAAAAAATCGAATGGTCTGAAAAATGGCAGATGAAATTTAATGTGGAAAATGTAAAGTATTTAATCTAGGAGATGTAAAGCAGGACCTGGGGTGTCGGGGCAGGGCTCGGGGTGTGGGAGCAGGACCTGGGATGTCGGGGCAGGGCTCGGGGTGTGGGAGCAGGACCTAGGGTGTCGGGGCAGGGCACGGAATGTTGGAGCAGGACCTGGGATGTCGGGGCAGGGCTCAGGGGTGAAGCAGGACCTGAGGTGTTGGAGCAGGACCTGGGGTGTCGGGGGCAGGGCTCGGGGTGTTGGAGCAGGACCTGGGATGTCGGGAAGGGCCTGGGTGTTGAAGCAGGACCTGAGGTGCTGGAGCAGGACCTGGGGTGTCGGGGCAGGGTCGGGGTGGGAGCAGGACCTAGGGTGTCGGGGCAGGGCACGGAATGTTGGAGCAGGACCTGGGATGTCAGGGGCAGGCTCAGGGTGTTGAAGCAGGACCTGAGGTGTTGGAGCAGGACCTGGGGTGTCGGGGGCAGGGCCTGGGGTTGGAGCAGGACCTGGGATGTCGGGGCAGGCTGGGGTGTTGGGCAGGACCTGGGGTGTCGAGGCAGGACCTGGGGTGTCGGGCAGGGCTCAGGGTGTTGGGGCAGGTCCTGGGGTGTCAGCAGGGCTCGGGGTGCTGGGGCAGGACCTGGGGTGTCGGGGCAGGGCTCGGGGTGCTGGGCAGGACCTGGGATGTCGGGGGCAGGGCTGTGGTTGGGCAGACCTGGGGTGTCAGGCAGGACCTGGGTGTCGGGGCAGGGGCTCGGGGCAGGACCTGGGGTGTCGGGGGCAGGGGGTGCTGGGGCAGGGGGCAGGGCCTGGGGTGTCAAAGGGCAGGTGTTGGGGCAGGACCTGGGGTGTCGGGGAGGTCCTGGGTGTCGGGGGCAGGGCTCGGGGTGCTGGGGGCAGGACCTGGGGTGTCAGGTAGGGTTCGGGGTGTTGGGGGCAGGACCTGGGGTGTCGGGGCAGGGCTCGGGGTGTTGGGGCAGGTCCTGGGGTGTAAGGGAAGAACCCTTTACTCCATCAGTTTATGCCTTTAGGCTGGTGTATCATTAAACCCCCTCCCCTTGTATGTGTCGGGGATTTGTATAAGTATGCTATTTTAGTGAAGAACACGTAAGATGCGTAGCACACTATCACCAGAGTGACCCGTCACACACACACACACACCGCGTGACGTGACACGAAGAGGCTGGAAAACTTTATCGCTCAAACTGTTTAAACACATCACAGTGGTGAAACTTTGTTCTATAATATAAAAAGTATTGATCCTAGAGTCCGAACTCCTAAGTGGTGGAACAAAGGTGAAAACGATATAGTACAGTTTAAATTACTAGAAGATACCGTACACAGGTGTCATAAATCAACTGAGTTAACTCACATATTAACCAGACACTCGCGATTCTACTCAAGTTGACTGATGGTACTAACACTTCGAGGTCTATGGAGTCTTTAACAAAGCTGGATACTAAGTCGTGAAAAAAATACTGGGCGCAATTGGATGGGTGATTCTCGCAAATTCGGAGCAGCATATCTGCAGAGAGAAAAACACAAACATTAATGAATGATGAGGCTATTGCTAGTGAAAGTTTTAAGTTTGAATAAATTTATAGTGTTTTATGTCGTTACCACCAGGGCATACAACACAACGGGAATGGTGTAGGTCGCAGGGTGAGCAGTTGTCATATCATATTTATTGATAAAATTGGAGGGTTTTGGTGATACAATGTTGAAGCTAGTATCTGTCACCAGTAAGTCAAGGGTTCGAATCCTGCTTGGCTCGGCCATACGTGAGACGGGTGTTATCCAGTGTGACCCTACCAAACATTACAGATTTCCTCCTGGATAGACAACCGCCCGAACGGCTAGCAAGCTGATAAGTGGTGAAATCATTGAATTGATAACTAAATTTTTGTTTAGCAAAACTGGTGATAAGATATATATACATGTAGATAGTTTATAGAGTTTGAAAAGTTGAGATATTAATGGTGGGTGATCTTGAAAAAAAATCAGAATTAGGTCGGACTGGAAGAGGAAGACGTTGGCTGTGACAGTCTAGAAAATAATTCTATGATTCTTAATAAGTATTTTTTTAAGTTTTGAAGAGGTAAATCAACCCTTTGTGTTTAAATTATAGAGCGCCTCCAGATACTCATCCACACTGACCAATGTGATCGTAAACTAAACGATGGTAGTCACTCATAAAAGAAACGGCCCCCCTGGGCGAGAGATCTTGTAACGAAGCAGGTCAGTTCTGGTAACAGTGTACCTATGTAAGGGGTGTGGGGGGGGGAGGGGGTGGATCACTGCCTTCTGCATGAACCACTGCCTCGGGTTATGTCTCGTTTCATGAACAACTAAACATGGTGTATATATTATACCAAAATTATGTTAACTTTACGTTTTCTGATAATTTCGGTCCTTCCAACACCACCCTTAACCCCATGTGCTCTCTGTTGGAGTCTTTCTCTAGGTTTGTTCATTCTGCAATAAATATCGAACAAACATTTAGCCATTTTCCGACATATTTGTCTGTATACGACCACGGAGGTTTATAATGTGACTGAACTCATATGAATAACATACAGGGTATCCTTACGTCGCGATGTTTGAGACCATATTGCCCCTATGGACATTTCTGCCCTCCCTCTCGACACACCCACTCAAACCATGGTCGAATAAATATAAGAAAAACTTTTTTTTTTTTGCAGAATAAGTTTAGTTTGGATATAAAGTGTAGGTATAATGCAATGAATAAGGTTAAATTAGTGATGATATTAGGGTCTTGTAATATAATGCCCAAAGGTAACATAATTATGCACCTCGTATTAGTTGTTCATGAAACGAGACATGACCCGAGGCAGTCATTAGTGCAGAAGGCAGTGATCCCCACCCCTAACGTCAGGTTACCAGAACTGAACTGCTTCCAATTACAAAACCTCTCACCCAGGGGGCCCGTTTCTTTTATGAGTGACTGTACGTTCCTATGTAAACACGCCCATCGCTGCTCACACAAGCCAGTTTGTCTCCCATACTGTAATGCACCATCCGTCTGTTTCTCGTAATCACTAGCAAATTGAGATGATCGCTCCCGTCGATATAATCATTCGCTGGATAGGGCGTTAAAGTGGCATTCACTGAGGTAACGAGCGACCAGCATGATAAAACTGTCGCCGACCGCCATCAGTGTCTCGTTCCTACTGATAACGCCACCACAAACACGCTGGTGAACCACAACCAGGCCTCTCGTCTTGGAGCACCCACGCCCTCCCATAGGGGCAACAGTAAGTCACTCACTACCAAGGATTTACAAAGATGTATGTACAGTCTCACCCAAAAGTTCGTTAACTCTCCCACCAGCTATAGCTGCACTGCCTCCTTCAGATGTTTGAAACTGTCTCAGTACTAACCAGAATATGAAACCGGTACGAATAAATCTAAAGGTTCGAAGTAACAGACTCAAGTTCATACGTCTGAAGCAGGCAGTGCAGCAATAGCTGGCTGGGAGGGTTAACGAACTTTTGGGTGAGACTACAAGTCGGCCTAAATCATTGGAATTTTAGTATCACTTGAAGATTGGGCATCCCAGCTTATTTCACCTGATGGTTAAACTCCCAATAGCTACCTGAGGAGGATACGTTAGGTTAGCGCTAGGGTGTTTAATTAAAAGGTGAAATAAGTTGGGGTGACAAATCTTCAGGGAATCCAAATTTTGACCCATACAGGCTCTCGCAAAATTAGTCGTCATTCTACGTCTCCGTCGTCAATCTATTGGCAATCGTCTGCTATGCGCCTCCTGCTTACATTATCATCATTATGTAAACTGCACACTACTACTACTACTGCTAATATATATATATATATATATATATATATATATATATATATATATATATATATATATATATATATATATATATATATATATTGTATATATATATTTATCATCGTTTTATGGCCGCTTACCATGGGTTAGCAACTTCATGCTGTGCAGTCTCCTGCACCAAGGTCTATTTGGACCTAGTTCTGCACTCTGCAGGTCATTTCTTACAATCTCCCCATATGTCATTCTTGGCCTACCCCTGACCCCTCCCTTCTTCTCTCAGACTCACGTACAGTATCTCCTGACCCATTTGGTCTCCTCCGTGCAACACATGCATGAACCATCTAATCTCACAAGGACTTGCCATGTCAGCCTACCTCAGTGAATCACGCACTTGATCATTTACTTTTTGTTGCTAATCGGAAAATTGTGAATATGAATTTCTGATCATCATTACTTATAAGCATTGTAGTTTAAGGCATAGCAGTATGATCCACCTAGAAAAATACTCCATTGTTCGGAATACTGTACACATTTATTCATATATTTAATTAGTAAGCGTACCGAAAATCTAACACGGAATAAAAACCTTCTGACTACAAAAATGTTCCTTAATTTTCTTTAAAATACATCAGTATATTCTGATAAGTACTTTATTTTTAAGTTAACCAACTACACCACCCAATCAGGTGGAAGGAAGGTATTTATCCCAGAATTTGTGATTCGTGAGTAAGTAGTCGACTGGTAATTGGTTGAGACCGCCATTACGTCACAACTTGGGCGCAGTTCTCAACTTGTCAGACTCGTCGCCAGTGTCCGACCATCCAGTAGTATCCACCAGGTCCCACGGTTGTTATTTTGTTTACTAACACTAAAAAGGAGCAGCAATTTGAACGTCGTTACTTATCAAAGAGTCTGGGCACTCCGGTTTCTTCCTGTACTAACACTGGCCAATGAAAGAATTACTCAAGAAGAGACCAACCGTCCGACCGGCTAATAAGCTGATAAGTGGTAGAAATGATAAATAAATATATACCCTACGCCCGTGATTATAGTGTGCCTGAATGGACAGTGTTATTGTTTAAAACCGGACTTGTGCTGCTGATATAGAAAGAATCACACCCTGATGTGCTCTTAGTGATATGCCTGGGATTTTTGTTTTGTGAGATAATATGACGCCAGGTTGTGGTTGGGCGGACAGATACAAGTGTGTGTTGAAGGTGTAAAAATGCATATTTTATTTGCTATTAAGGAATGAAAATCAGAAAACATTTAAGGTATGTACCTGATTTGTATGGTAAATTTATAGTTTCAGCCACAACTACTGTTCGACCACATTTTTGTTTTTCCCATGGTATTTGGTGTAATTCATTCGGATATGACCTTTAATTTTGTCGGAAATGAGTTGTTTTGGACTTTTATCACCCCCTTCCATACAGCCTGACCTAACCAACCAAAAAAACCTACCTAACCTTACCTAACTTCCAAGTGCTTTGTTTAATATAGTGGGGACCACTTATTAAACAGAAAGCGCTTATTTTGATATCTGGTACCAATGAAAGCAACTTTATTGAAGCATCGTGGTTTAATTTTATGCTTTATGTGGACGTGAGAGTAAAGCTCGGACCGAACGGTCAGCTGTAAACAAACAGACGCCACGCGGTGACTGCAGATTTCCGTTAATTTTTTACGTGAATTTACTTTCTCGGTTAATATCCATTTGCGACGGAAGTGGTATTAGAAAAAGTTGTTCCTATTAACAAGACATAACTAATGGTAAACACAAAATTGCAATAACCCTAACCGGGTTGTGGCTGAAACTATAATAATACCGTTTGGATACCCTTCTGAAACTTCGTGTTAATTTGTGATGTGTAGTTACTAGAATTGGTAATAGTGAAGCAGACGGTTAACACTAGTTGTTTGATTTAGTTCATTATTTCCACAGATATTCTTTGGATGACTTAAAACAAAATCTCTATCAACGCTTTTGCGTCAACTGAAGTGAGCAGGGAATGCATAAAGGGGATAATTGCTGGATAAAACACGGCGAAAAAATAGTCATATGACACTAAAATGATGTCTACGTGTTTTGTACGTAAAGAAATAATTATTTACCATAAATAGTCAGCCGAAAAATCTGCCGCGTCTGCGCGCGTTGTCGTCCGCTCTTAAGTTTGGTTCACTAACTGATCGTAATCTCACGTCCACAAAAAACGTAAAATTCACCATGCTGTGTCCGGCTTAAGTTCTCACAGATGGTCTTAAGAACATAAGAATGGAAGAAACTGCAGCGGGCCTATTGGCCCATACTGGGCGAGTGTAGGACAAAAGCCCCCTAGGAGAAAAGTCCCCCAGGAGAAATAATAAGAAATTTTAAAATAATGATTTTATTTTTTTACAGTTTATGAACACTTCTCTAACCTAACCTTCGGGAATTCTGTTATAGTTATAAAGTATACAAGGAATGTTTATTAAATCTGCAATGACGTATGTTTTGCCTACTGGGGTAATTACTCCCCCTGACATTCAGTGACCTCACTGGACCCTTGGGTCACCTCAGTAAATACAGAATGAACATGAAGGTAAAATGTATCGTTTTTTCCTTCTATTTATTTAATAATGTTCTATATCAGAATTGAAAGGGTTATTATATTCTAATTATTTAAATTGTAATAATTTCATATTTAAATCTGTATATTTTTAATATT